CCCCCCCCTTAATCCCGGTCCCAGTCCTATTCCCGATCCCATTCTCATTCCCGGTCCCGGTTTTAATCCCGGTCCGGCGGTCCTGACACTTTTTTTTCTGTCCCGGTCCCGGTCCCGACCGCCAAAAAAGCGGTCCTGGTCGATCCTTGAGCTTATTAGTATACTAGGACAAATATATAATCACTCCCGAATTTTTTGGCGGTCATGAGCGAGAATAATTATGTCATTGAAAAATTTGATCCGTGAAAAACTTGTCCGCGATAATTATGACCGATAAGGTATATCTGATCATAAATCATAACGAAGTGAAAGGTCCCACAATGAAAATGCTCGACAACGAGACTAAGATTATTATTTCAGATGTGCGGATTTATAAACTCGAGTTGTAATCAAGTAGATGAAGAGGGGATCACTGCTATCAAGGAAACGCATTATCACAGCAAATTCTTGTGCGCTCGTGCGGTCTGTGATGATGGAGATGCTACATTCGGCTCAGAAGACATTTGCAAACATAAAAAGGAATGCAAGAATATTCAATACAGTACGGATACCTGCGCAGTACCTGATGACACGGATCATAAATACACTTGCAATAGTGCTTATTATCGGATAGAAAAAATCAAGTCCAACCGTCTGTGTGATTTAAGGTCTGTGATTGTGCTTTGTGTGATGATGAGGCAATTTGTAACGGGTTTACCTATGGGATCTTATGCACTGTTAGCTCCAGTCTATCACCTCGTTACACACAAGCACTTTCGATCTGTGACAATAGGCCCGATTGTATTAATGGAGCAGATGAAATGAACTGTCAGGAAGGACCACTGTGTAAGCAGAGAGCTATAGATGATGTTACAAGACGAGCTATCGTAAATGGCACAAGATGTGCTCCCTTGTTCAAGAATAAATTACCATATTGTGAAGACTACTCTGACCAACTAAACTGCACGGACCCCTCAATTGCAAACCTAACACGTTTTAGAGGCGGCTACCCTGTCTCAGTTGCTGACAGAATGAGATGTCATGGAATCACAGGACTCCGACTTTGTGATGATGGCTTTGAAGACATGTGCGTGAGAATTGATATCACTTGTAAGGTCCACAAATTTCAACTTTGTGACGAAGCAAAGGATTGCATTAACGGGGCAGACGAGTTGCATGTCACTTGCCGTAGTATGAGCAAGTATTCATGTAAGAGGGCATTTGGTATGGAGAACAGAGTATTAAAAGTACCTTTGAGCTGGATAAATGACGGATACAAGGACTGTGAAGATGGTATAGACGAAGGAGTGGTTTACCCAACCTGTGGTTTCACCCCAGCTACAATGAGACGCAAGAAAGATGATGAAGAATGTGGAGAGGTTTTCCTATGCGGTTTTCCTCCTTCTGGTCATATAGAATTTGAGTTTTTGTGTGACAAAGATAACACTTGCGGTAATGAGAATGCGCTTTGCCACAAAGCATTCGATTCTCCAGGGATCCATCAAAAGATAGATAGCTATGAAAACCATATGTCTGTTTCGTACTGTCTAAAAGCTTAAAAGGTTTGGACAAACTTGCTTACGTAGCGGGGAATTGTTCGAAGACTGATTTAGGATACCTAGGCTATGAACTTCTTGGAAGAACACAGCTGCTCTTGGATGTTCCAGAAACAAACTTTGACTGCAAATATGTGTACGGTGAGATGTATGTCTATCTTGCCTGCATTGGCCAGTGTGCCACTTCCATTTGTCCACTTGAGGATCCTATAAGACATGATTCCTGTCTTGGGCAGTACCCTTCAAGAGTTTACACCCTCGCGGATAACAACTTTTTATCCTTCCTTGTGCCGTATGGAGATGACAAATACCACAACAATTTGTTTCCTTGTGAAAATGGAATATGCATTCCATATGAAAAAGTTTGCAACTTGGCAAATGATTGTGGGGATTTCTCCGACGAAATACTGTGTAATAACCATTTTCAGTGCCCAAATAATACAGAATATATTCCTCTTTCTAGTGTCTGCGATGGCAAACCAGACTGTATCGACTATTCAGACGAATGTAATGACAGATGTAATGTACGGATCATTGAGAATACTGTTCTCACAACTGTAGCCTGGCTTTTAGGCTCATTAGCGACACTTTTGAACCTCATCATCATCATAAGAGGAATGTATACTTTCAGAAAAGCTTCAACAGTGGCAATGCTTCTTAACAAAATTCTCATCCTCCTCATAGCATTTGGTGATCTTTTGATACTATAGGGATATATCTTTTAGCTATATCTATCTATCATGAATCGAAATACCATAGTTATTGTCCCAACAGATTCGAATGGTTAACCAGTAGATCATGCGCTATCGTGGGAATCGTGAATACTGTGGGTTCTCAGCTATCACTCTTTTCAATGACAGTCTTGAGTTTGAGCAGGGTATTGAGGGTGAACAAATTATCTATCAGCGATGAAACGAATTTAAAATCGAGCATTCCCGTATTTTTGATAGGTGCCCTAATTGTTATAGCTTCCTGTTTAATGGCAGCAGTGCCCTTATTTGAGCCCTTTGAAGACTACTTCGTCAACGGAATTAACTATTCTGGAAGCCCACTTTTCGTCGGATCTGTTACTAAATCTAAACATCTCGAGATTTTTGAAGAATACTTTGGAAGGATGAGAAATAAAGATCTCTCATGGAAAAACATAGACAAATTGGTCGTGAGTATGTTTAGTGAAGAGTATAAAGGAATTACCAGGAACCAGGTTCATTTCTACGGAAACGCAGGAGTATGCCTCTTCAAATATTTTGTCACTTCTCATGATCCTCAACGGATTTATGTATGGTGTACACTGTTTCTTAACATCATATGCTTTGCAGTGATTACCGTGGCTTATATTATCATTAATTTCATATCAGCCAGATCATCGAATCAATGTGCTAACAATAATGGAAACGAGCAACTTAGAAATAGAAACAAGCGACTTCAAAGAAAAATAACTCTAATCATTGGGACAGATTTCTGTTGCTGGATACCATTTATTGTCATGTGTTTTCTCCACTCTTTGGAAGTGACAGACGCTAGTCCTTATTACTCCTTGTTTTCAATTGTCGTCCTGCCCATTAACTCAGTCATCAATCCTCTACTATACGATGAAACTGTTAGTGTATTGTTATCAAAAATATTTAGAGTATTAAGAGAACAATTTAGGACAGAAGCTCCTGTGGCTGGTGAGTTAGAGATGAATCCAATTGAAACTCAAGATACTTCACCCGTGAGAGACAATAGTTGCTCCATGAGAAATATTACCAGCGATGACTCCTCCAGAACACGACTATAAAACGCCAGAAAATCTTGGATCAAATGTTCAGGATGTAACCGAGGATGTAACCAATTGCTAACCAAAGATGACCAAAGCTAGAGCTTGTGTTGTTTCCGAAATATTCAAGTATATCACTTGAATATTTCACTCGAAGTGGGGATCGCCTTAAGGCGATCCCCACTTCGACTAAGTATAACTATAACTGCAATGTTGGATTTGTTGACGTTAGGCGGAAATTATTCTTTTGATTGTGTTTCAAACGGATTGTCTCTGTAGGCATCAATTAAATGGACGATGTTAAGTTTTTAACTATAAACTATTATAATTCAGAGAATTATCTTTGTACGTTTGTACGACCGCCCACGTGCAAATCAGACGAGAAATAGGAAGTTGCGTAGTAACCATAGAACGAGGATTGTTACACGCACGTGCACGTGTAATGATTGTTTTAACGTCATTTTAATCAGTTTTGTTGATATTACGCTGTGTTTAGTACGAGCAGCATTTTATTTGGCCGTATCTTCGGTGGGGATGAATAATTTTTGACAGTACGATTAAAACTGACTTCCAAAGAATACTAAGCAGTTACATCACTGCTTATAATCACCCTACGCGCGTGGGGTGGACTCCTGGGGTGGACTTTTATTCAGCGCGTATTTTGTAGCCTGTTCAACTTGACGTTTTGAATCGTTACTATCTCAATGTCACAGATACATAGAATGTGAGGTGATCATCTTAAAGAGAAACGTCTCAGCTTTCACCTGGTGTAAAGTTTATCTTTGTTCTCAAAATATAGCTCGCTCAGTGTGCAACAGAAGTTGACATTACAATAACCACGTCCGCGACCGGTCGTCAGATACCGGAGTCTTGCACAAAATTGGGTCCCTAAATTAAAATTTTATGACACAGTTACGATGAACTAGTGTCTAGGGAAACATTTGGTGAAAGTTTCAACTCTCTACTATAAAAATAGCTATAGTTATTGAAGATAAACCGTGAGAAAATTCCTCTTGTCGGGATCGACGCTCTAGGAACCTCCCTTCTGTACCACGTGACAACGATTAGAGCGTCACGTGGCCGTCACGTGACACAAGTGCGCGCGTTGGCTCGAGCATTCTCGTGGGAAATCCTGATTGCCTGATCGATCTCCTGGGAAATCCTGATTGCTACGGAAAGGGCTGACAACCACTGTTATTTTCGTTCCTCAATTTTCCAGTTCACTTGCTCAGTGCTGTCAGTTGTTTTTTGTTTGCCCTGCTAAATAAATTTCACTCCGTCATAATCCCCTACTCCCCTATCCAATGAACTGTTTCTGTTGCAGCTGCCATTCTGTTGACTTGACCCTAACTTAGTCTTATCATTGTCACTTGATAACTTTATCCGTGTGCACTTTCTCGAAACTCACTTATCTTTGTCAAGACTCAGCTTATCTCAGATCTAAATGTTGCCTTAACAGACTTACAGTTACTGGTCACTGCACTGGGCCCTCCTTTAAATGCAAATATCATATGAGCAGCCGATCGATTTATTGCTTGAACTGTGCATCCTTTTTTTTAATACATAAGGTCAATTTTTCTATCGTGAAACTTAGTCACTGAAAGTGAAGACAACGCAATCTGGCTGTGCCGGTTCCCCTCTGCCTAGATCACTTAGAATATCCATAGTTAGCAATACTTTAATCATTTAATGCAGCGATATAGCCAGTTATTAATGCCACATTGTAGATTTTAGCCTGTTCCAATCATCCTTATATCGAGTTAATGAAATTTATGAAATTGCCTACCGTTCAAATCGCTCTCTGTTGTTAGCACCACACTGATTAACTACAATGTTCCAATTTTTTAGAATTATGTCCGACATAATTCTAATTTTTTCTGTTACAGCAGATAGTTATGGTGAAATGGCACGCAGGAATAAGTCATCCCTGTCCTCCAAAAAGCACATAAAAAGGTACTTGGTAAGCCATGTCTTTTCCAATATCAAATCCAATGTATCACAATCTGTGGACTTTTTACTCAAAAACTAGATTGATTAATTGATAATTCATTGCTGATTGTTCACGCGCCCTGTATGGAAGTATAAAAATGGTAATCCGCATACTCCAGGAAGAATTGAAGCAATCTCAAGAGAAAAGAAGGGAATCTGGATCCTTCGTCGGATCGTCACAGAGCTTAGAGGGGAGCTCTACGCTTCACTGGCCATGCAAAGCAGGGAGAGTGACGGAGGCGGAGGCACTGCTGGCTGCTGGAGCGGACATTAACAAGCTGGACAGAGCGCAGTTGAACCCTTTCATGGACGCGATCAACTCAGGTAAATCATTTGACCGCCTTAACAATATGGGTTTATCTAACATTGGTAATAGTAGCAAGAGGTTTTAGTCATGCGTTTGATTACAGCACAGTGTGAAACCCTGAAGCATACGTCGAGCTCTAAACTCTGTTTTGTCTGATAATCAATTATTTGAATATTGAAGGATTAAATTTGGTAACTTGATGATCACATAATTAACAGGACAGGTCGACTGTGCTAGATGGCTGCTGAGGCAAGACGGTATAAAGCTCCAGCCCGAGATATGGTCGTTTTGTAGGGAGAGGGGGCTAGAGTCAGTGCTAACAGCTTAACAGAAGGTAAAATCCTGAACTTTTGTTCATTGATTCTTTGAATCAATGAACAGATTCAAAGAATCAATGAACAATCGTTCAGATGTAAAAATTATTTATTCACTATTTTGCATTACATTTAGTTACAGGACTGAGGACTGACATGCGACATCCGTCGTTGACCTTTGTCTTTATTTCAGCAAGGTACGGAGAGCGATCCATGGCTGTCCCGATAGACCCACTCAGACTCCTGCCGGAAGATACTCCTCCGGTTGATCCAGATGAGACAGTTCTAGCAGATGATCAGTTACAGACTGAAGAACATATCCCACAGATCAATGCGTCAACATCTGCAAATGAAGGTACTTCAATCTGCTCTTCTTGTATATGTCTTTGTGCCTGCGTCTGTGATTGTACTGAAGTGTACTCTGTGTGTTTGTGCCTGTGTCTGTCTTTGTATCGAGTGTGTGTCTCTGATTGTACTGCGTGTGTCTGTAATTGTAATGTAGTGTACTGAAGTGAACTATGTGTGTTTATGTGTGTGTGTCTGTGTGTGTATGTGTCTGTGTGTGTATGTGTCTGTGTGTGTATGTGTCTGCGTGTGTATGTGTCTGTGTGTGTTTGTGGGTGTGTTTGTGGGTGTGTGTGTATGTCTGTGTGTATCTGTGTCTGTCTGTGTGTCCGTCTGTGTCTGTGTGTGTCTGTGTTTATGCTGTGTCTGTGTGTTTATGTCTGTATGTGTTTGTGGGTGTGTGTATCTGTCTGTCTGTCTGTCTGTCTGTCTGTCTGTCTGTCTGTCTGTCTGTCTGTCTGTCTGTCTGTCTGTCTGTCTGTCTGTCTGTGTGTGTGTCTGTCTGTCTGTCTGTGTGTGTGTGTGTGAGTGAGTGTGTGTCTCTGTGCGTCTGTGTGTGTGTGTGTGAGTGTGTCTCTGTGCGTCTGTGTGTGTGTGTGTGTGTGTGTGTGTGTGTGTGTGTGTGTGTGTGTGTGTGCGTGCGGTGTGTGTGCGTGGTGTGTGTGTGTGTGTGTGTGTGTGTGTGTGTGTGTGTGTATGTGTGTGTGTGTGTGTGTGTGTGTGTGTGTGTGTGTGTGTGTGTGTGTGTGTGTGTGTGTGTGTGTGTGTGTGTGTGTGTGTGTGTGTGTGTGTGTGTGTGTGTGTGTGTGTGTGTGTGTGTGTGTGTGTGTGTGTGTGTGTGTTCTTTCATAGAAGTTGTTATTTCCAAGATACGAAGTTCGAAAAGCTAGCATTTAGTAATAGACGAATTTTGCAGCTGATATCAGAATCGAAATGATGATGGTACTACACGAGATGCTCATGGAAAAGGTATCAGTTTGCTTTTCTCCTCCCACGAGCAGTACAAAGTGTGGGTTCAACTTTAATCTGATAGAAGACATCGTATGCGGAACCCAAGCCCGGCTATGTCTGTACATAATAACGAAAGAAACCGGTAAGTTTTTAATCATTTAAATGTTCGGCCGAACGTTTGCTTTCATTTTAGACTAGTGACGAAAATCAACAATCGTTTGCCAGTTTGGTTAGTAAAATCGACAAAAAATAGTCCATTCCCCAAGGCCATGATATTCGAATTCTGCCCGTTGAAATCGGCCACTCTGATTTTTATCATTGAACTTTGCATTGATGACATGTTCATTCTCTACAGGTTATGCTGCGAGGGCGTTTAGCTCGATAGATGTTGAAAATGCCCACAGCATTATAAATCATTTGGACCGCCGAGGGGTCCAAAACTCCTCAATCGAAGAGCTTAGTAGACATGTCAGCAACCTACAGAGACTTCAAATTCTCAGGAAAACCTCTCTAGGACGGTAATACATTAACTTGTTTAGTTAATAAATTTAATAAGTAGATTTTGAGTGATGATTACTCAATACTGATATCGAGGTACCATAAAAAGGGTATATAAACTTATCACTTATGCTTATATGCTTATACTCTTATACTATCAATGAATATCAAATCGCCTTCTCTAGTTATCAAACCCAACATAAATTAAATCTCGGCCTACAAGGACTATTCGATATTTACAACAGACCGAGTGAATGTCTCAATCTTTCCAGGAAGCTTTATACTCCGACATCCACAATTTACCACGCCCCTGAGATCGACAAAGGTCTTTCTGATAGATTGACTTCCAGCCAATTCGATCTATCGAAGCCGAGTGGGAAGAACAAAGAACTGAAACCCATGGTCGCAACGATGCTCCTCGCGGACAAGGGAGAGTTAGGGCCATCGGTGGTCACAAGACTGCAGAATATTTATTTTTTTAAGCGTTGAGGTTGTCACGAAAGTGTACTGTAACGGGACTGTATCAGATTTGAGTGATTTGATTTTGTGATTCGCAGTTCACGTGATTTTATTGTGATCTTAGACTGTAAAAACTATAAAGGTTCAAGTTGAACTATCGTCGCCATGATTATGTATTTTGGAACTGTTCACGTTGAAATTGCTTCGTTAATCAGCAGTCTTCCTTGGTTACCTTCTACTGTGTAATGCAGCTACGATCAACGATACTTAGCTAGTACATTCATAGTAACTGCACTGAGAAGAGTAAAAAATTTGAGCTTTGACGGAATAACATTTCCTTGTTTTTAGATACGGTTACTATTCTAGTGAGGGGTTCATAGCTGACCATTAAGGTCTTACTCACAATAATTTGTGCTCTGATATTGGCCGTACTGACTGCTGTTGAAAAAGCCACTCCATCAGATGCGCGTCACGAGAGTCCACCCCAGTAGACCCCACTACGTACAAAATTTGAAATTTTCCCAAAAACTTCTGATTAAGCTAGTTTGTTTTCAATAACTTTTGCAATATTAACAGTAGACCCTTCAAATTTTCACCAAATGTTTCCCTAGACACTAGTTCATCGTAACTGTGTCATAAAATTTTAATTTAGGGACCCAATTTTGTGCAAGACTCCGGTATCTGACGACCGGTCGCGGACGTGGTTATTGTAATGTCAACTTCTGTTGCACACTGAGCGAGCTATATTTTGAGAACAAAGATAAACTTTACACCAGGTGAAAGCTGAGACGTTTCTCTTTAAGATGATCACCTCACATTCTGTGTATCTGTGACATTGAGATAGTAACGATTCAAAACGTCAAGTTGAACAGGCTACACAATACGCGCTGAATAAAAGTCCACCCCAGGAGTCCACCCCACGCGCGTAGGGTGATAATGTGATAACATTATTTTCACAACTTTGAGTTGTGAAAATAGTTTTATCCAACGAGTTTGACGAGTTGGATAAAACGAGTTATATCCCGAGGTTTGACCGAGGGATATAACTCATGTTATCATATTATAAGCAGTGATGTAAATGCATTCTCTGATGATCTACGAAATGATGTTAGCGAATGCAGCATTTACATCGGAAATTAACGACCGATAATATTACTACATAGAACATTCCAGAGTCAAACTTTCTAGAGGACACATCCTTATCTCTTAAAATTGTTACAGGTCGCTGAGATGTTGCGAATTATTTTAAATTGGTCAAATAAGCTCAGTGAAGCTCACACTCACACAAAACTTGCCACAAACGGTTGACTACTTGTTATTGACATTCTGTAAAATTTTGAAGCAAAAATATTTATCAGAACATAAGTTATACCACTTTCTGTTTTTAAAATAATTAGCAACATCTCAGCGACTAAGGATGGACCAGGGAGATAACAATAGTTATCTCCCTCCCAGTTATTGCACCCCTATTTAATGCATTATATTAGCGTAAACAAGAGTGAGATAACAACTTTTACATTATGGACAGTTACACACTGATCATGAGAGAATATTTATAGGTTCCTCCTTGTGACCACGGGTTTTCTAGTAAACTATAAAGCTGTCGGTCTAGACAAATTGTGACTCTACCATTTTATCAAAAGTTTAGTTTCACGTTAACTTCAAATTGAAAAGAACAAATGAAATATTCAATTGCATTTCCAAAATATATAAAACTTAAAATAGCTTTATCTTTGAAAAACATGCGCAATGACATTTCACATTTATAATTAAAATTTTAAAATCACAGTTTTAGTAACAAGACAGGAGAACTCGCAATGAAGTATTGTAACCGTTATGGTATTGATAGTTATTAGTTATACAGGTAAGGTCTTAAATGCATTAAGAAGCATTTAGTGAATAGGGTATTATGAGTTAAAGTTGCAATTATAAATTAATTAAATGAAACCAAATATTGTATTCATAATATACCTTATCGGCTCAAGCCATGGACAACGATAAATCATAGATAAAAATGTCTGATATTACCAGCCGGGTCAATAAAAATATGTATTGTTTTTGTTTCAAAAATGTGGCTGATTGGCTGAGCAGTGAGCAACTGTTAAATTAAAGTCTGGAAATCGAAAGACCGAAACCTTTCTCACCGTGACATTAAATAAAAAGTCTGCGACAAAAAAACTATTTACACATTACATGGATCTGAAAACTACAAACAATAAATTTCTTGGGATTTCAGAGATTTCGTGAGATCACAGAAAATTCACTCCAAATATACTCCAAAGCTCACAGTGGCTTAAAACCCAGCTCTCTCAGTTCGGCTCAGTCTATAAGTTCAGTTCACTGAGCAGTCACCTCAGTGGCTGTGGTGGCAGGTCTAGTGTGAGCTCCAGTAGTCGCCTCACTTTCCGCCCCAGAACCAGACCTCGCTTCTTTAGGTGGAGGAGGCGTCTCTATGATGATGGGGAGACGGGACATGTCCGTCTCGGCTTTTTTCAGATCGGGAGTGGAAACCCTGGGCTGCTTTCTGGACACCCCGCTACCGTGCTTATCTAGATACACCTGCAGAGAACAGACATTAACAAGTATAGCTTAGTAGACATGTGTTGTGGACTGGGACGAGGTGGACTGTTTAAACTTGCATCTTAAGTTATTTTTAGTTGTAAAGGTCAGTATTTGAACGATTTAAAGAATTCCTACATTTGTTTATGGGACCGGTAAAAATCACACCATCACGCCTAAATACATTAGATTCAGTCGACAGATACAATTACTGGGCTTTGGATGGAATTGGAATACACTAAAACTTGGCATTTCAGCGGACATAAATTCCCCATATTCATTTTCCGATATGATGGCCCCTAGTGACTGGTGCAGCAAAGGCAGAATGCAAGGATAAAGTTTGACATTTTAACAATCGATCTATTAACTTATTAAGTTTTGGTATGAAGCATCACGGCTCTCAACGGTTCTTGTTACTAAGGCCAACAAGTGCCGAATCGGCGCGGCGGTTGTCTTATTTTGCTTTTCGATCTCGCGAGTCATTTGTCCTGTTTAATTTTTTTCGTTTAACAAAAATTGCTGAGAGCTGTGATGCTCCCCACTGAAAATCACGCTAAGAATGCTCACAGGATTCATACACATACAATCCCACATTTACCAATGGATTTGTTTGTTACAGAAGTCATTAATAGTCCGCTACACCATACGCACCAGGTGTGAGGTGGTAACGTTATTAATATTATGACAAAAAATAGATACTTTTTAAATTCAGTGAAATTTCGTAACTGGTACGAATCTGAAAGAAAAATGTCAAAATATAGTTAACACAGCTGCCGAGAATAACTTAAACTGCTGATTGTTTCATGTACCTGGTAAATGTTTTGTCGCTATTTCAACAATATCATTAGGAACTGAATCAAAATACGAGGCTGGACTTCTAGTTCTACACTCCGTTTCTAGCATGCAGTTTCTTACTTTTAAAGAGTCACATACTTACTCTAAGTAGTAGTGACGCGTGCTGTTTTATTTAAAGTCTGTTTATAATATACATAATATTACTGTTTATAATATGAGTGGGCTGTGTTGGTAATTATATTGCACACGTGCAGGAGTAACAACTCAAGCATATGAGTAAGAGATATTTACCCTCTGTAGCACACATTTTGCTATTGCACACATTTTCCGACACTTGTAAAAATTTCACGGATTTTCGACACTTGTAAAAATTTCACGGATTTTCGACACTTGTAAAAATTTCACGGATTTTCGATACTTGTAAAAATTTCGAGCATTTTCAACACTTGTAAAAATTTCACGGATTTTCGATACTTGTAAAAATTTCGAGGATTTTCGACACTTGTAAAAATTTCACGGGTTTTCGATACTTGTAAAAATTTCGAGCATTTTCAACACTTGTAAAAATTTCACGGATTTTCGACACTTGTAAAAATTTCGAGCAATTTCATCACTTGTAAAAATTTGTTATTAAAAGGATCAACATCATTATATATCTCATTTCTCTTTTTGTTAGTTTTACAATGTCAGATATTCTTATTGAAGATGAATATCACAGAGGTTTTGTTATTGGGATCATGAGATTACTTGCTGTACATAGTTATTCGGTTACCAGAGCTTTCAGATTAGAGTTACTCTATCTTAAAGAGAATAGAATTTTAAGAGCAAGGATTTTTGAAAACACTCTTGTTTTTAATCGAGTACCCAATTTAAAAGTAGGTAAAAATTATGTTGTAGTAGGGTGGTTAACAGCAAGCAACCATATTATAGAGGTGAATGATATGAGCTAATATGCAAGAGATCCGTGATTTATCAATTGAAGATCTGCGCACAAAGCTGAAAGAGCAAAAACTCTGTTATGGTTATGAGGTTCTAACAATTTGTGAACGTCGTCGCAAAAAGTTTGAAAAGCGATTGTTCTTACACATGCAAGGAAAAGAAGCACCCACCCTTCATAAATGTGCTGATAATAGGAGTGAATACTTTTTGCTTGATATAGAACTTCCACAGACATGGTATCCAGGAACATCAATACTGAAAAAGACATCAACTAAAAAAACTAAGAAGTCTGTCCGATTTAAGCAAACGGAAATATTTGGAAATGAACCCATCTACCCATACTGTGTTACAAAGTACAATCATAACACTAAAAGCCAATACCTACATGCACCACAATGTTCTAATGCTGTTGCAGAAACGATCGAGGTGTTGGGCCAATACAGATGGATGAATAGAAAGTTTTTGATTGAAGGGAGGCATGATATATAAGAACTTAGAGTTCCAACCTTGACTGATTGAAGATGCAGACCAGCTCACAATATTTCCAAGAGTTCTATGTCAACTCACCATCAGAATTTCTGAGTTTCCAATGTCTCTTAGAGTCTTAGGTCAACAGAATCAACAACAATTTTAATCTCTCCAATTTGATCGATAAGATATTTCAAGTGCAACTCATCAAAACTATATAATTCCTTTGTTCGATCAACAGGTTTTGATATGTCATCCTTTGTACCCATACAGATGCAATCATGACTCGGCTCAGTTTTCAACTTGGATTTTACTCACCGATCTAGAAGATCGGACTTTGCTACTAAGGTTTAAGAGTTGCATCTCGTAAACTTTCCTGGTAGTATCGGTTATAGGTCTAGGTTGAGTGTCATATTCTCTTATGATAAATACTCGAAACTAAAGAGAGTGAATGTGATCGGGCTAATTCAAAACTTATTTATCGAGGTAAATTATATTTCTTCAAAGAACAGACTAATTCATAACCACACGACACCCCAAAGAAATATTTGCTTACCATGCCACAGCTTTTAACCAATGTCCCCAGTATCATCAGGAACAATCTCGATCAAAACCACCCTGTTAAACATGAACGGAGGTTTGGAGATGGGTGCTACTTTTCAGAGTATCCAGAGTTCATTTTGATTGAAGGGAGGCATGATATATAAGAACTTAGAGTTCCAACCTTGACCGATTAAAGATGCAGACCAGCACACAATATTTCCAAGAGTTCTTTGTCAACTCACCATCAGAATTTCTGAATGAGCTTCACTCTGAGCTTTCATACTATCAAAGAACCAAAGTTATAACTATGTTTGACATTTACCGTATTCGAAAAAGAGTACTCCCTATGTTTGATATTTTGATATCAGCTCAGAGTAAGAGTTATGAAGATATCATCAATATCCATGAAAATATAGTTTTGCAAGCAATACGAGAAGAGCTGAACTTATCAGATGTTACTCAGATGGCAAATGAAAACAAGTACATGTTACGCAATTGTTTTAAGGTCTTCATGAATTCAATGCCCAGTGACTCGCCTATATAAATCGAGTTGGAATGTAGAGAGCTCATTTCTTGATACAGAACTTTGGTTACGTTTCAAACATGGCACTCTTCAACAACTATGGATTGATTTGTGAAATTAATCCAAATACAAAAGGATACACTCGCTTGACGATCTCAACGAATATACCATTCAAGACAAGATTGATTAAGTTCAATGTTTGGGATACCGTACAGTTAAAGAAACCTGGAAGTACTAGATCCAGTACCCCGCGATTCCCTTCAAAGTGGGAGAAGAAGTACAAGTGGAATATTCCTACAAGGATGGGTATCCTATACTCGTTAACATGGTTTCATCTCACGTTGACAATTGTCCAATATGCTTTAACTCACTGGAGGGTATTGATACTCAAAGAATGGAGATTGGATGCGATGGATGTCGATTGATACCTGAGGAAGAACACAAGAAAAGAGTGAATACTCAAATGCAGATCGTTTCTAAAACGCTAAAGCAGTATTCAACAGTGCAGGGTTCAAACTAGAGCTTTTCAGTGAAGTAGATAACAAAGCCTTTGCTCCGGTTATTTTCCCAAATAACTTTGCATACCAGAAACTTGAAAATATGAAAATTGGACACAAATACTGGGTCGTCGGATGGATTGCTCCAAACGGAAAGTTTCTCGATGTAGTTGATATCAATTAGTTGTAATTTTATTGGTTTTTATTTTATGTCTTTATAAACTTGTTTTCATTTGTACAAATAAAACAAATTTATTCAAATTATTGAAGAAACAAAAATTAAAGCTACAGAATCATTTTTTTCAAAATCTTGTGAGTAGCGTTTAAAAAATCTTTATAATCTAACCCTAAACTTAACACATAGATAAAATGAATGCAAAAGTAACCACATGCTTTGCTATTCCAGCCTTGAACTCTATAGTTTGTGTATCTAACAAACTTAAACTTTTTTACAATATCCATATAATATTTAGGTAGAGTTTTGTGGTCTGGCGATCGTCCAAATGAATCAAAGAAGCATATTGTATCATCTTTTGCAGCCCAAGCACACCAATGTTCTCCATTTTCATCATGCTCCTCAGTGTTTGAAATGAAAGCATAATATGGTTTGGTAGATGTAGGTGAGAAACAAGAAGGGTAAGTACCAATATAGTTTTTGCTAGTAACGCTTGTGTTGAAAAGAATATCGTCAAGTTGCGTTGTGGTAAGAGGTTCAAGCATTATTCAATGATGCGTACAATACGATCGGAATCTATTTGAATTTGTCTGTCAAAGACAGCATAAACAATTAGTATGAGATCTTCTGGAAAAGTCTCTGTTCCGAGATCTATTTCAATGCTGGTACTTGCTTTCTCTTGAAGATTCAGATGACGATCATTTATACTAGATCTATCAGCACAGAAGCTTATTGCAGTCATGAAATTCAAATGAAAGTTGTTCTCATTTATAAGACATGATCCTTGGGTATCCTTACCCAAGGTGCGGTAAAGTTGTCGTAGATACTCACCAAATTCTTTGAATTGGAAGTTATTCTCACCAATTTTTCTGATACTACCAACTTCTAAAGGATCAGCAAAGACTGGAACACCATCACGGTAAAGTTGAAATTTTTTGTAAGGTATCATAATAAAAGGATTTGAGGGCATATGTCCATCAAAGTCACGACTCCTCTGCAACATAAAGAATGCATATGGAGGAAGAATAGAGTTTGCAAAAATATCATTTATTCTAACTAT